GATGGATTATTTTCCAAATTAGCCAAATAAACTTGATAGTGCTTCTTCTTAGTGTCAAAAATTAGCCCAAGAATACACCTAAAAATAAGGGAGCTATTTAATCTTCGCTATTGACCATCCCTAATCAGTACAGCAATGCCTGTCCAGTCCACTCATTTTATAAGCGCTAACATCCACGACCTGAGTTTGAATGCTTTCTAGCTGTATAGTATTGATCAGTCTTATCGTTTGAGATTCGGTTAAAATAACTTCTAATGGTTTATAATTAGATCGTTCTCAAGGGTAATCAATAAAAGATATTGGATTTATATTCACACACACTATGTCTGCCAAAGGATAAAGGCCTTCATCATCTGATTAGCCCTTATATCTGAAAATTGAGATCTACCAATCACAGGACGTGGTAGTTAAACCTGCAGGTACGTGGGCGTTATGCTAATAGTCTAGTGCAGAAAACTTCAACGTTGTCTGTTCGGTGGATTGCAGTTTTCTGACGATAGGGTTAATCACAAAAACTTATATGCCACAATGATACAGTAAGACTCTCTGATGCTATAAGGATTTCCAGTTAATAATGTTGACTTGTGACTGAATTTTATGATGATAGTAATAAAACTTATTTTATATAGAAGGTACATAAAAGTGTACATGCTTTTAAAAAAAAGGAAATAAAATCAAAACAGTCTGCAGGAATTGACCATTTTTCGATACATTTATTATCTCAGAGAAAATTAAAGTATTAACTGCTTCCATTTTATGTTCATCTGACGTAAATTCCTGCCAGTAGTGACATTGTATATGAGTTATAAAAATCAATTCTTAAAATACCGGAAAATATAAATGCCGATATCAGTGTGACGGTTATTTATTAATTGACTGTAATTTTTAACCCAGCCACCCACTTAGCAGTGAGTCCTATGTGGTTGATCAAGAATCGGTAGATAGTGCGTGTGGTGGTGCTGGTGTTAGGTCCACCGCACCTTCGAATCTTGTTCGCTTTTACCAACAGCATCAAACTTATCGTGAGCAGGTCTTGCAGACTGACTCCTCATTAATGCCTGCAAGCCACGTTAAACCCAAACAAGACATCATCCTATGAAATCTTAGACTGTTGGTTTGAATCTTATAGACTATCTGGCTGACGATCTATAGATGCTGATGCCTTGAGACTGTTGATAACATGATTCGAAATTGTTCTCACACTATTTTGAAACCAGAAATCCATTAAATCTTCATTATTCCCTATGTAATTGTAGTTTCTGTGTATTTCGTTTTTCTCTGCCTTTGTGTGTTTTGCATTAGGTATGGCAGATCCGACTGCTGCCCTTCTACATTGAGAATATAGTTCATTATACATATTTTTGGCAAGACTATCTATGATAGCTGAATAAATGAAATAACAATCTGGAGCGCCGAGAGATTTTTCAGAGTGATTAGTGCTAACCTGCTTAACAAATAGGTCTAGTAAATCATTTGGTAAAACCCCAGGGTTAGTGATCAGCCGGCCGCTGACTCACAATCAGCTTCCTCTTTCCGGAAATTTCGTGCCTTTGCATAGTTTCTTAATGTTTCTAATGAAACTAATAAAATATACTCCAAAATTGTTGTGTTTCACAATATATTAAGTTTGAAATAGGGACACTGAGTTGGGGACATAGACGGTAACCATGAGTATTGCTTCACTATGCCAACAAAACTATAGGATAGCCACCTGTTTACCCAGCCTGCACCCACGCAACAAGAACACCCAATGATATGAGCCACAATAATATATGTTTCAAAATGTCATCAACGATATTTCAGTTAGTTTGTAATCATGATCAGTAAAATAGTGGTCGTTATTTTACGTAAGCCAATTCTGACTGGTTAATTTGCAGACCGGACATCAATCACCACATTAACTCTAAAGGATAATCCACTGTTCATTTGTCTACGTATTAAAATAAAAGGTCATAATTTGCTAATTAGCTCTAATGCCAGTAAACAGAAATCTCCAAATCAAACAATGTGTAAGTTGCCTACACTAGATTACTATTGTGTCAACGACGCACCTCTAAACAACCTCTATATTCTCATATTGGTAGATTTCAAATTGTAGAGTCCGGGACAGTCAGCTGATGAATGTCTTTATCCATTAACTGAGAAATGCTGCTAAATCAATCAATATGTGGGATTACGAAGGAAATAGGATTTGGACAAAATTATTCTAATGGTTTTTTTCGAATAGTCTAACAGCGTTCAACATTCAGAATAACCACAGAAAACCAAGAAGCACTGATTACATGCGTCGAATGTAGGATTGTTAAGTGACGCAAGTACAACAGACTGTTTTGGCACCAGATCAAGCAAGGTGTAATATTTCTTGATTTACGATGTATCTGCATGGTCATTGAATTCTTCGTAAATATCTACTCTCCCACCAGACTTGGTGGACTACATACAACTTTCATGACTCGAAGATATTTGTTGACTTTCATCTCTTGGGAATATGAGGATTTTTGAAAAGATGCAAGGTAGATTTTGTCACTGTCTAACATCATTAAAAGAGCTATTGAAAACGTTGGATCACTGTATGGCTCTTTCGTCCTCTTTCATGGCTCTTATGAAGTGGTGGGTATAAACACTAAAGTCTAAGACTTGAACATTTCAAGGTCCATTACAGGTAGAAATCTAGGGGTATATAATATTTTTAGTCAAGGTGTCACACCTGTCAGTACGCCGAACAAGTGAACAGTATTACCAAAGGTGTATTGAATTAAACTTCTTCAAACTACATAGGCTGTGTTAATTCAAACGTTAAATTTTGAACTGTTCATGCAGGAGAAATTTGTTCATATACTTATTTCACTTTATGAATTTGAACGAAGCAAAAGTAACACTTTGTGTAGAATCAGATGGTACTGTCATTCATTTCGTCAGCCTCTCATCAGCTGAGTACAACCTAAAAAACATTAACTGTATGTATAGAGAAATTTTAACTTACTTGTAAAGGTGACATCAGTTAATAACAGATTACAAAGTTATTAAATAGCACTCAGAAGTTTCAGTTGTACACAGAAAGTTCAAGTTTCAACGGAAAAAACAGACAAATTGATAGATGTTCGATTATAGTAGCAATGGAATTGCAAAATAAAGATTAAAAATAAAGGATAATTAGATTATAAGTAACTAATAGGTTGCGCAACAGTGTGTGAGTTCCACTTAAATTAAAGAAAGGAAAGACAAACAAAATTACTATATTAGTGAAAGGAAAAATCTTAGATCTAAAGATAACACAACCTAATAAAAGAAAAAGTAATGCCGTCGAGTAATCAAGACAAGGACAGAGTGACAGCTGCTTCTTTATGAACGCATAAATCCGGTTTCAAGAGTCCAATAACAACTATTTCAGCAAACATGAGGGGAACAGAATTATATTGTCTCTTGATATTCCTTTTAGATTATTAATCGTGATAAAATCTCTCGAGAGCGTAAGTGGATCACTTAAAGTTTTATTGGGTACTTCTAACAAGCCAGAAACCGAAAAGTTACAGGGTTTTCTGTGTATAATATTGAATTAAATGGTTTTCAATGGTTCTCTAACTGATATCAATCCGTGACCAACTCGTAAAAACATAACTAACCCTTACAAATCACACTATAGAAAAATGGCAATATTTTAACTACTCTAGCTTAAATATTCTAAAGATTTTAGTTGATAAAATGTAAGTACAAAGAATACTGGTTTTTTCCCCGACATCCATGAATCTGTACGCTAAACTTCATTCATAAACATCGTATCCTTATAATAAGTTTTATGTACTGTCAGACGAAAAATATGAAGGCGAAACATGTAGAGGCAGGTTGGTGGAAAAAAACATCATTCATTGGAGTTAAATAAGTAATCAAAGATTTCGTTGGCTAACAGTGAAATTTATGCCTTGCCTTTTTTCCTATCTACATCTCACTAACATGATATCCAGAACACATTGGTAAAAATACGAGGGTGTTATTCCCTAGGCCCCTAAGCCATGAGAGAGTTATTAAATCAAAACAACTTAAATTATATGATTGTGCTGGTGCTTTCCAGAGATGAGTCCAAAACAGAACGAAATACACTAGTGTTGGTTTGCTGGGATTTGACTGACTTCAAGTTTGAACCCAAGCTGACTTCAAATGAAGAACGACTGAAAAGTAACAGAGAGTACTGGACAGCTGTTTTGCCCTAGTTTGGATATCTTCGGCAGTGTGCTCGCGAATTCTAGATCTGGACCTTCAGTTTACGAGATGAGATGGCTACCGATTCAGCCACTGAAACTTAATCCAATGACCCACGAGTTCTATCTCTTCCCATTTCGCGAAATATGGACCTGCCACCATCTTGTTGGTATCGTGGGTGCGTACTGTTAGTGAGCCTTAAAGTAGGACGAAACGGTTATCTATTAGTCCCTGGCTTCCAATCGTTCTCTAACTTGAAGCAGTTCATGACCAATCCTGAGATGATTTTAAAAATGGGACTCAATGTACTATCGAGGCATCTGTTTTCAGGGATTTCATATACCAATCCCTTACCCTTCGTTTCTGTACATGTATGGAGAGATAACGTAGATGATATAAAGAGAAAGTAAGGCAAAGGGTAATGCTGAGAGAGAGGGTGAGTGAGAGAGTTCGGATAAATGACATCGAGACAGTGATTGCTTACAACATGGTAGAAATAAACACTAGCAACATTAGCAATGTGCGGAAAGAATAACACAAGCCATTCTGGCAGTGCACACACACACACTGGTAAAGAAAAGAAAACAAGAGTATCATCTGATTTTGACGAGGTATTAAGAAAATAATAATTAACACAGATCTGAACCAATCAACGATAATCAGGATGTGTATGCAATTAATTTATTGGTTGAATAACTTGAATGTATGTACATGCGTGCACACTGCTATTTGTATGTGTGTCTTTTGCTTATGTCTATATACAACTTGATGACGAAATGACCATAAAAACAAGAATATATATAGAAAAGACAAGTTTATAAAATGGTAACAATAACATTACTATTAAAGGTGAATCCCAGATACACTGCTAGTAAATAGTTAAACACAGACATACAATGGCAGGGAAGAGAAACATTGAAGAGTAAATGTAAGACACAGTGACAACCAGTAAATTAGTTCTACAGGACAATGCTTACTTACTTCAATCAGCTACCTGTTTAATTTATGTGGTAAACACAATCCAAGGCAAAATCAGAGTATGGGAATTAACTAATCATGGATTAACTGAAAACAAAAGCACTACCACCAACAGCAAAACAACTAATCCTTTCATTATGTGCGGAACATCAAGAATAAATACATAATGTTTTGAACAATCTTCTCCCTACTCCTCCTTTCCAAACCAAATGAAGAGATTATTCATAATTTTGTCGAATAAAATAATTCATTTTGATAAAATAATACTGAGACTTCAGAAGTCCCCACTAAAATCATCGAATTTACAAAACAAAACTGTTGATTGTTGGGAATATATTGGAATATTGAAATCAAGTTTTAGACACACAAACAATATTTTTTCAACAAGTTTCCCTGGAAATACATATCATTTATGAGGGAAATGTTTGCTTAACGAATTAATGAAAGTAAGCTGTTGAATATTAAAAGATTGAAACTTTAATTTGTTTTTAATATGTGTAAAATCTTGTGCATTCTGGAAGTATGAAATCGCATATTAATTTGTTTATTGGATATATCACACACACACATTAGATGGCTAAGTTTCGAACACAGGTGTTCGTAGTGCATAGTCATATCATCAATTTTAACTAATAACTACGAATGTTTACTGTTATGGTCCTTCTTCTTTCTATTTGTTTTAAGGGTAGTAACCTTTTCCAGATATCCGAGATACGTGTTAAGTCATTCCTATTGAAAGTGTTCACTCGATGGCGTGCGACACCCTGTTTAATGCTTGTGGGCCGTTTAGTCCCACGTTCTTTGATATATGTGTTCATATATGTGGACAAAAGCGCACATGCGTTAAACATTGCGACTGCACACTATCTACTAGACATTGACCATGGTGTGGACAATCTGAAGGCGTTCAAAATAATCGATAGACAAAAGAAGCCTAGCCTGCTTCGTTTTGCTGAGACAATCGCCATCAAACGGATAAAACCAAACCTATGTAGGCAGGTAGAAGCAGTGGTGAATCTTGCACTGCCTTGGTGATAACAAAGGATAAAAATTTCATTGCGTCATCTTCCGTCCTGTTTAGAAGCCTTGATTTTTTCCTCTAAACACGAATTATCCTACATCCTCTTTTTTCCCTATTTCATAAAAAAAAAACGTGTTTTTCTGTTGCTTTTTATACTTCCTAGTTAAACTGTCTCTATCCACAGAACATCTGTTGAACTCTGTCTTTTTGCCTCCGATCTTAGTCAAATAGTCTTTCTATAAATGGCCGATCCTTTCCACTCTTAATTGTTTAACAACTCATATAATTCCTGACCAATATTACTCTTAGTTCCAATCAGTTACTCCTTGTCATTGTAAAAAAGTATATTCACATGTTTATTTTAATTTGTAACTTTGGTTTTTTTCAGGTTGTAACTGATTGAGAAGGGTGGGATAAGATGATGGTCTTAAAGACTAATATAATAGGTTGAAGGAGAGCCTAATTTATCGAATCAGCTGAAAATATGTGCAACAGGAATGATTCAACACCTATCCCGGACATCTGGGAAATTCTACTACCCTTGTAAGGAAAGGAAATGACTACAGAGAACTATAAAACTCAAGTTTCGAAGTCGCTAAGCTATAATCGATATCATTATGAACAATAAATTGCGATCAAAACGTCTTTCAGCACATAATACTGTTTTATTGTGTGATATATCCAATAAACAAACTAATAGGGTATTATATGCCTTATCTAAATTTATCAGAGGGACTAACTGTTTTAGCAGGGAATTCGTTTGTTTTTCCAAATTTTATTCGTGGCTTTTCTCTACCTCATTTCTTCTTCACTATTTTAGTCTTCATGTGAATTATATGAAATGATCAGAAGTATTTCAGTAAGCTGTTCATATCCTTGTATCGAATTAATCAGTGAGGTGTTGGGTTTATAAAATCCAGATGATAGTCTGGCGAGCATACTGTTTAAACACAACGCGGAATTTCAATATAGCACACTGAACCTTCAGATAGTATAATTACTTAATGCAAGAGTAGGATTTGACCAATATGGCAGAGTATAATTACAATTAGATATGGTAATTTAATATACATAACACACAGTGAGTGATACAATGTATTAATAATGGGATAACAATTCCAGCATGATTTATTGATTATAATTATATAAATGTATTCACACAGCTTCAAAATTTGCTTCATACAGTTTGACCCCTTATTGTTTTTATGGCAATTTTCCATATGTCCGTATAAGTGTTGCGTTGCTTCCATTGTACTTGTCTGGTGTTGACTTGATCAACAAAGATTCAGTATTCTGTCTTCAGCTGACTCTATTGCTTGTTAGTACTTTCACCTTATCTCATCTGATTGTGTGATTACCTACAAGAGGATGCATTGAAACGGTAGAGTGTTTCCTGCATTAATTAACTTCGAAGGGTCAATCATTGTAGCTCCAGTTAAGTTCCGATAATCTAGCTGACTCCTGTGCACTAGTATGATCTATGTAATTTACCTCACAGTCGTTAACTAGTACTTGGTAAGTTATGTTATTTATCCTAACTGGATCTATCAAGCACTGGAGCAGACAAAGTTTATGTCTGAGTGAGTTAGTTGACCACCTTAATTGCCACCTTAATTCCAGTCTACTTAATGTCTCTGAAATTCCTTTTTTATGCGGTAGTATTCTTGATGCTTTAAATTCCTTATTATTTATATTGTTGTCATTATTTACACTACTACTCTTATTTTACTTATGGGTCTTCATGCACTTTGAACAAAATCAGGTTACTAGTTATTCACCAGTAGTTTCATTTTTCTTTATCTATTTGGTTATTTTATTTAAATCTCTCAGCTTGTTAGTTAGGCTCAGAGTCTAAGTATCCAACAGAGTGTGATGTTTTCCCGTAGACACTACTATCTAAGTTCCCATCTGATTTTCAGTTAATTTTGCTTTGCTAGCTAGTTGAGGTAACTCATCGTGTTTAAAAGACGTTCAGTTGACATAATGTAACATCCAACCCGGATATATGGAAAATTGAGATAAGAAACAGCAAAGAGCAGGACTATATAAAGCAAATTATGAAGTGGTGTATATACACTTTGATATGATTGCGAGGAACAAACTGTGTTAGAAAAGTAACCGAATCATTAATAGTGTATTATTTGCTGTGTGTTATATTGAATAAATTTATTTAGTATGTCATTCACATCTCGAATACAGAATTCAAGCCTTCTCTACTTGTTAAGTTCTTTTTATTCTTTCTACACTTATAAATAACACTGCACTTTTCTGCAGGTTTCTAGAGGAAATGTCATTATTACCATTACAAAACACTTATACATACTTGTCCTAGAGTCAAATTTTATAATCGTCACCCGAAAACACTGGTTCATTATAAATGTTCAAGATAATAAAAGATTTAACTGAGGATTAATTGCCTCTAGCCCAGCAGGTACTTTTGTCAAGGCTGATATATAGACCCATGCTGGAGTACAGTCATCTTCCAACCAATGTATACGAAACTATGTTAAATTATTTCTAATTATACAGTAACACTTCCATTTTGCGTATCACCATCCATAGTCTCCCCCCCACCCTAAAATTCTTGCAAAAGGATGATTATGAGGACTTATGTAAGAAAATAAAAGACAGATTCAGCGAAGAAAATTTTATTTATCGACGAAATCATCTTCAGAGGCTGTACAGTCGTATTTATACTTAGAAAAATGTATAGTGGTCTATTATTGAGTAATAGGGGGTGACATAATTGATATAATTAATCATAAGTGGCTTTAGAAGTGAAAATTAAAAGTTGTAAATTACATGGTACTCAACGGAACAAAGACAGAAGTTCGATAAGGTTAAAATTGTTCTTGAGTGAGAATAAAGGTATTTGAGTGTCAATTTAACAAGTGTGAAGAGGGTGTGAAAATATACAAAAGGAGCATATGAAACTGATAATAGTGAATTAATTATTAAAGCAAAAGCAAACTAAGAGTAAAATTAAAAATTAAGAGTAAAAGAAAAAATCAAAAATTTTTTTACAGGGAACGATTGGTGAAGAGGTTAAGACCAAGGTAGAATAAGAGACTGGACAAACTTTTTCTGTATACAGAGTTCAGGGTTGTATTGATGAATTGCCAGCGCCTCCGCCATACACAAAAGCCGAAACCTGACGCCCTTTGTACAATTTGGCTTCACTTTGTAGATGATGTTGAAAGACGACTCTGGTGGAGCTACGTGGCCTGAGTTCACCAAATGCTCGAGAATTGAGCTAGTAATTGTCTTGCATTGTCCCTTTGCTAACCATGCCGGATAATGTTCAGAGATGCGTTTGGAAAGCGTGCGCTTTGTGCGGCCAATATAACTAGCTCCACACGAGCAGGTGAATTTATAAACACACATTGAGGTGGCCCAAAGCGGCAGTTTATCCTTCACACATCCGTTGATCATTTGTCGGCTGTAGAAATTGATACGTAGCTCAGCCATAAAGAAGGCTTTCCTCAGTGATCTGCATAAGCGATTCTTCAGGATCTCAGCTGCAGTATCACCTTTAAATTCAACACTCATAAAGAGCAGTTTCTTCGGCACCGTCTGAACTCTTTCAGGCTTTTCTCTTAACTTCATGTTTTTCTCGATAAATCTTGGAGGATAACCATTCTCTGTGAGAACTTGTCTGAGTCGCTCCAGTTCCCCATCGATTGTATCACTTGAACATATCCTCCTTATTCTTGAGGATAAGGAATGGATCAGATTTCTCTTTCTTCTCAAAGGGACCCAGCTATGAAAATTTTTGTTCTGACCATTCCATGTTGGTTTCCTGTAGATCGATCTTTGAAGAGAACCATCATATCTCCTCCTTAGAAAAACATCCAAAAAATTGAATTCCGAGTTAATCTCTGATTCCGACGTGAACTTGATGGCAGCTGTTGAACTCCTTAGTTATCAATTCGATGTCGGTATCGTCGTCACATATGACGAAAGTATCATCCATGTATCTTTGGTACAGATAGAAACTGTCGATAGTAGGCCGTAAAATGCTATTCTCCAAACTAGCCAAGAAGCAGTCTGCAAGTAAAAGACCCAATGGTGACCCCATTGCTACTCCACCTCTTTGTCTATAGATCGTGTTGTTGAACTTGAATTGGACATTTAGAGTGCACCTCAAAAATAGTTTCTTTAAGTAGTGGATCAGAACACATACGTCTACATTATTATCCTCAATGAATTCGCATATAAAGCAGATAGTTTCAATGAGGGGTACGTTGGTGAAAAGCGAAGTAACATCCATAGATATCGTTTTCTTCCCAGATACATTAGCATCACTTATTGAATCGACGAATTCAAACGAATCAGAAACGCTATGCTTGCAGAGGTTATTTCTGATAGGTAGGAGGATTTCTGTGAGCCATTTGGCAGTAGCATGATATGAGGAATTTGTCATGT